AATATTATTGTTTTTAGATATAATGTTGAATATTAAAAATAGTATTTTTGGAGGAATATGGATTTTCGAAAGTATATTATGTATCAAACCTATTTTTGGCAAATTATATTATTTTACGGGGTTGGGTAGGTCTTACTTAACTAAAAAGCTAATTTTTGTTCTTTTTCCTTGTTTTGTTTTCTGCACTTTAATTGTGCAGGTGATGAAGGTTAGGCTTGATGATGAGAACATAGTTAGTATTTATAATTACCCAGTTATTGTTTATTCCAGTTTGAGAACATGTAGACATTTAATTTGTTTTTTGAGATTTAAATCTTTAAATAGTTGGATTATTTTTGGATGGTGGTTTAGCCTGTGCATTCGGTTAAGTAAGAACCGAGTGTGGCGGTAACACCCCATTGAATACTAAGGATGTTTTTACTTGGACTGTAATTTGCTGGTCTAGTCTGGTCTGATCTGGTCTGGTCTGGTCTGGTAAGGTCTGGTTTCTTTGTATTTTTATAACTATCCAAGTCTAGTCTGGTCTGGTCTGAACTGGTCTGGTCTGGGACAAATTACAGTCCAAGTAAAAACATCCTAAGCTTCCGCTGCAATTTAAACTCTTTTGGATTAAATGTTTTGGGAAATTCTTTATACACTTGCTATAATTAGCATCTATTTTGGATATAAATTTGAGGGTCTTACAGATTCGCGGTGGCGGAAACCACTTGCTTGCCTTTAACCGCCCTCCTGAGACCAAATGTGGCCGTAATCTCCACTGAAGGCTCCAGATTTGTTGTCGGAGTCACTGCTCACCTGCTTTACATTACTCGCTTCACCATTTTCGTTGTTCAAAGTTTTGTTTTTGAGATGATCTAAACTTGATTACTATTTAACTCTCAATGAAAACACCAAATGATGACTTCGCCGACCTTAGTGTAGCATAAACTGAGAAAGAGAGAGTTGGAAATAAGCCAAGTATGGGTTGAGACGGAAAATTAACAGTGTAAGAATGAGTGAATGATGATCCCTTTTCAACTAGTTGAAAGGTGATATTTATAGTGTAAAAGAAATGCTTAGACAACAAGTAAAATCAACTAGTCTAATGAAATGTTGAAACATGCAAAATTGGTAAGAGAATAATCAACAATTGACTGATTGGTACTGTTGTAACAGAATTCGCCTTTTATGCGTAGATAAGTGACACATGTAAGTCTAGAATCTTCCATGCTTGATGATGTCAGCCCTAGACAACTGTTATGTTGATGACACGATCATGTGCGTATGTGGAATCTAGATGCTGAAATGTTTAAGTCCACGGTCTTCATACGAGGTCTAGAGCCCTGCGGCAGGAGTCGAGCTCATAATGTGGAGCGGTGATGCCCTCCTTGACTTTTTGCCTCCGCTAGGTCCCAATTGATTTTAAGCTCGGTCGCAACGCTCGAATTGACGCCAGCCTCAACGAGGGTCGACATCGGCCTCATATGCAGTTTTGGACTTGTCTCGATGATCTGAGAACTGGTTTTGGACCCGGTCTTAGTCGAGGTCGGCCTCGGCAGGGCTTGACTTAGTGGATTATGGAGATCCTTTGTTCATAAATGTTGATACCGAGGTATATGTGAATATACTCCATCAAAAACTTTGCCATTTTTTTATTTTCCAGTGACTTTGTTACTTTCACTTAGGTCTGCCAATGGGTCGGGTCTAGACCCGTACCCGATCCGAATCTGCCACTTTATTTGAGGGTATGGGTCTAAATTTAGAACCGATTCCCGGATCCGTATCCGAACCCGTTACATGATAAAGAAAATGGGTCAGATATGGATTTTTAAGTTCCGGCCCGTTTTGGACCCGACCCGTGATGATATAATTATAGTTATAATTTTTTACACACACACACACAATATACATAAAAATACTTAAACATAAAATAACGAAAATAATCAAATATAAAATATGTTTTAATATTTGTAGGCTTATTTAGTGGTTGGTCCACTATAATGGGATTTTCGCTAATGAGTTAGTGCTCTAGATTCTCTATGAGTACACTAATATACTTATAACATACCCCGAATATATTGTATAGTTCATAGTCTCATACGGAGTAATGAATAGAACAACATTTTGCTTATTTATATATGATATCTTCCAACACGAACATTTTTTTTGTTATATACTCCGTATTATATTTGTTTGCATATGTCATTTAGTTTTTTTTTGCGGGTAAACCCGGCCCGGATCCGAGACCCGCCGGATCCAAATCTGGAACATATGTTTAGGACCCGAAGGGTAAATGGGTCCGGATCTAGACCAATTTTTTTCAACGGATATGGATATGGAATTTATAGTTCCGGCCTGTATCCGATCCATTGACAGGCCTACTTTCACTTTTAAGTAAAGAATTTGCAATTACAATTATTTTTTTCTCCTCTGTACAAACATCAACCACACCGTTTTAATTTATTAATTCCAGTACCGGTCAAACCAGGTCAAATTTTAAGGAGCAACCCATTAACAAACCAGCAATCTATACTAATATAAAAAGGGAAACCAAACATAGGGCTGGGACTTTGGAACCAAGAACCGGAGAACCGAACCGGACCGTTATGACCCGGTTCGGTTCGGTTCCAACATTTATTAGTTATTTTTTAACGGTTCGGTTCCTATTTTTTATTAATGGTTCGGTTCTCGGTTCCTAAAAAAAATATGTACTAGGAACCATTAAGGAACCGTTATATATAATAATTAAAATTATATATATTTCTTATGAGCATATATATTTTAATGTATATTTACTTACTTATTTTTATATTACATTCATTATTTTTGTTTAGTTATTCAACTATTTAAAACTATTATTCACTTCAACCGGTTCTCTTAGGCTTCTTAGGCCTCTTATTAGGTCCAAACTCCAGTGGGTCGGAACTTTGAGGGTCCAAGTATTTAAAATTATTATTCTCTTTAACTGTTTAAGCATATTTGTATCGTAATTTCAAACGTAGAATGTCTTTTTGGCAAAAATTTAATCATGATTTGTAAGAATTTTTTCGAAGACTAGGAACCGTTAAATGACAAGAACCGAACCGTTAAGAACGGTTCGGTTCCTTATCGGTTCTATAAAATAATTTATAAGAACCGAACCGTTAGTAAAATTTCATATTTTCAAACGGTTCCACATATTTGGCCTAGGAACCGAACCGATCCCAGGCCTAACCAAACATAACCGTGTGTGCTTACATCACTTATTTGTCACGATGATTTCATCACTTATAAATCTCAAAAGACGTGTCTATCAATTTGGAAAACGAATGCACCCATTAGTTGAACCGGAGCCGTACAATCGTTTGCGCCTGATAACATTATATGGACGTGAGTGATATGGTGTTTGCTTCTTAAAACATTAGATCATGTCGGTTGCGAGGCTCCGACGAATTCATTCTTAAGGAATCATATCCCAAGTTACCCAAACAAAGAGAAACTTTGTAGCGGTGTAGCCATACCTTTTACCGTCTGGAAGGAGAAAATGTCGGAAAACAGTTGCCTTTGATGGTTGCAGGTAGAGAGGGAGGGGAGGAGGAGAGATATTAGGAGTTGTCAATGGCGCTGGCTTCTAAAAGATCGAAAGCACTTGCAGTGCGGTAAGCTTGATTCTATGGGCCAAATCTACGCCATTCACTGAAGATTTAATACTCTGTCGCGGGAGACATCGCTTGCGTAATAGAGGTCGGAAACGTGATTATAGGTTGTAGCGTCCGGATCAGCTGAGGCGATTCTAGGGGCGGGTGTTTTATAAAATGGGCCGACTAATGGTGGCCGGGAATTACGGCCGGGTGATTTCCATGTGGCGACGGATCAGATTAAGGACGCAATTTTGAAGACGCGCCTGAAAGCTGAAGGGCGACTGGTGTAGAAAAACTGCGAGGAACGACCACCGCGAGCTCCAACGACTTCCGCGGACACCATTTCATCTGAAACTGTGAGGCCGTGGAACTTGCGCACTCGCCGCTCAGGGAGTAAGCAGCTGAACGTGTCCGCTTCTGGCGAATCGAATTTGGGTTTGTTTATTGTCCTTACGATGCTGCCATTGCCCATTGATGATCGAAGGCAAATGTCCAAGAGTCCGGTGTAACTCCGCCACCACGTCCTGGGCAAACTTTTCCGCTTCCGTCCCCCGCCGCAGCAAGAGTATTTCCCGTCGGAGAGGAGAATGGGAAGAGGGAAATGTTCACCGTTGCCCTATCCCGGCGAGAGATCTAGGAAGATTTCGGGTTGATAATCCGTCAATCTCTCCACCCCAAGATACGATCTAAAAAATATTCAGAGAAATCTAGATAGTCTATTTCCTGGATTGTGGGTGACGGAAATTAGTGCTCACATGTACAAAGTTACTGATGGTTCTCTGATGATTCGTTCAATGTTGGTGTTAAAAGATGCAGATTCTATTTAATTTCATTCATTCATTAAAGAAGTGTGATTAGCATATGTTAAAACTTATTTCCTTTTCTTTTCTGTTGATGGGTAATGGGTATGGCCGTGTGGGTATGTTGTTTACCTTGAAAAAAAAAGACATCATTCCAAGTTACAAAAAGGTACCAAAAAGAATTCAACGGAATAGATAACTGATATTCCAGTCGTTCCTAACCTTCCTCTATGGGTTAGTGCAGTCGACCTTCCACTCTTGGTGAGTTCTAATTGTTTTATTCAATTTTAATTCATCAAGCACTACGTCTTCACAGCGAGAAGTGGGCGATTACTTTTGGCGTACTGTCAACTCCACCCGGAACTACAATAAGAGTCGCCAAAGACCTCATAATTTGTGTTGACTGCCACAATTTTGCCAAGGCCCTTTCTGGAGTGTACAACAGGGTGGTAGTTATTAGGGACAACACTCGCTTCCATCACTTTCGTGGAGTACTTCGTATATGATTGTAGAATTAGTAGTGCAAATTAAATGGAATACAAAAACAGATACTACGTATATACTCCCCTGTTTCATATGGGTTCTCATTCCAGGGGCCTACTCGACCTTTTATTAAAAAAAATCGCGTGCATCGCACGGTATAATACTAGTTATAAGAATATCTCATTCCACCATTATCCTGTCGACCTGTCCCCCTGCATAAAATCTAGTCAAGCACTAGAGCTTTGTTTTTGTTTCTCATTTTCTATTGTGATCCGAAGGGAAGATGGGGGGAGTGGACTTTCTAGCCGATGAGAGGAGGAAGGCGGAGTTCGATGTAGACGCTATGAAAGTAGTCTGGGCGGGCTCTCGCCACGCCTTCAATCTTTCCGATCGCATCTCCAAGCTCGTCGCCAGTGACCCTGTACAACATCTCTTGCTTTTACCTCTGGGAATATTTATACTCATAGATTGAACCGAGCTTAGAACTGTGTAGTTTTGGGTGACTGGTTTCTTTTCTTGGGTGATTAGGGTTCGATATAGAAGGATTTTGATGTATACCGTAGAACATCTTTCTGATTTCTGAAGAATTAGAATATAGAGGAAGTGCTGATTATTTTTGTATTATAATAAGGAGGTAATTTGTCAACTTGGATTCCACGGAACATGTTTTTTAACCCCAAAAAGTTGCAGATCGATTCGTTTGCTTTCACTTTTCCCTTTCGCTGTTTAGTGCTTTTCCAACTTTTTTTAAATTTTGGATATGAATGATAGGTCTTTAGTAAGGATGGCAGGACCATGATGCCCAGGAAGGAACTGTTTAAGAATACCCTACGGAAGGCAACTTATGCATGGAAACGGATCATTGAACTTCGTCTAACTGGTAGGTTGTCACTTCAAATTTTATGTTCATGCTTCACTTTACATTATTGAATTTCATTTTTAGTCTTTCACTTTCTGCAGAGGAAGAGGCCGCTAGACTTAGATTTTATATAGATGAGCCTGCTTTCAGTGATCTTCATTGGGTAATCTCTTAAATGTTTCTAAAATTTTACGGAGTATTACTTGGTCTAAGACCAAGACCCTGCTTGGTAGCACCACTATGCTTATTCAACTTATAATCAGAACACCAAGGGCCTAAGGGCCTGTTTACTAACAGAGATATTTTACCAAAGAAATTGCTGGAAAACTGGAGAAAGGAAAAAAAGAAAAATGCGTTTACCAAATTGTTTTCCAAAACGAAAAAAATGAGACATTTTTCTCTTTTCCTTAATGATATGGAGAAGTGACTTTCACTAGTTTTCCAAATTTGGAAAACGCAGATGCTACATTGTCGCTGCAATGAATTTGCATACTTACACCTAGTGGTGGGTCCGGTCCCGCTCCGATGTCGATTTCATTCCGGTACCTCCATCCTCGTACCTTACCCCTACCCTACCCTACCCACCCGACCCCCACCCCGCGTACCCATTTTCCCTATAATGACCCTACCCCACCCCCTACCACATGCCCCTACCTCGGCCCCATCCCGATCCACCCTACCCTAACCGCCACCCCTTACCACCTCGACCCCACCCCGACCCACCCTACCCCCACCCCTACCTTAGCCCTTACCACATGTCCCCTACCTCGGCCCCACCCCACCGCCATCCTACCCCCCACCCTTCCGCCATCCTACCCCCACCGCCATCCTACCCCCCACCCTACCCTTCCCCTACCTCAGCCCCACCTGGATCCCGGGCCCACCCTACCGCCATCCTATCCCAACTCCCTAACCTACCCCTACCTTATCCCAACCACAGGTCCCCAACCCTACCCACTACCCCCACCCTTACCGCCATTCTACCCCCACCGCCATCCTACCCCCCCACCCTACCCCTTCCCTACCTCGGTCCCACCCTGGTCCCGGCCCCACCCTACCGCCATCCTATCTCAACTCCTACCCCTACCTTACCCTAACCCTACCCACTACCCCAACCCTACCCCACCATTACCCCTAACCACGACCCTAACCCACCCACTACCCCCACCCCAACCCCCTACCCCTAGACCTTACCACCCCACCCCGACCATACCCCTTACCCCACCCCTACCCACTACCCTGACACCTACGAGTAGGTATGGGTGGGTATGAAGGGTTGTGGGGGAGTATGAGTAGAGTGTAAGATTGTGGTAAGGGTAGGGGTAGGGGTCAAGGGTGTGGAATTGGAGAACTGGGTGAACAAATTGATGAACATGTTTTCAGATTTGAAAATGGAAAACTAAAAAATAGAAACAGAAAATTGGAGATAGAAAAACTGAAAAATAAAAACAGAAAATTGGAGAACAAAAAACAGAAGTAAAAAACCGGAAAATATCTCTGTTAGTAAACAGGCCCCAAGTTTTTGTCTTTTGTCGTGCCTGTTTGGTAAGGATTGTTGTGCTGGTATGAATGAATCTATTGAAGTTTTGAAACCAAAAGTATTCGATGGAATCCATTTCATCCAAACAAGTTATTCAATAGCTAACTACTATGTATATTTAATGAGCAGAGTAAGACACTTTTGGATACCAAAGGGACTCTTATTTGGCCGAAGTCAATTTTATCGAACAATTTTCCATTTATAAAATTTAGCAGACTCAAACCATTCAGTTCAGCCAGATAACCCTTACCAACAAGCCCCATCTTTTTAGTAAAGGTCTTGCATTCCCTTTAATATGTTCTCATGATGTAATTCTCCAATTCATATCCAGGGGATGTTTGTCCCTGCCATCAAAGGATCTGGCACGGAGGAACAACAAAAAAAGTGGTTGCCGTTGGCGTACAAAATGCAAATAATTGGTTGCTATGCGCAAACTGAACTTGGACACGGGTCCAATGTCCAAGGTCTTGAAACCACTGCCACTTTTGATCCTCAAACAGATGAATTTATTATCCATAGTCCTACCTTGACTTCAAGCAAGGTGACACATCCACTCCATTTATTAAGCACTCGCTCCGTCCCGTTGGAAGGTTCCTGTGGGTAAACGACACGATTTTTTTAGGCAAGTGGTTAAATAAAGTAATTTGGGTAAAAAATAAAAAATTTAGAAAAAGTAAACAAATAAAGTGAAAGTAATTAAAGTATGATAAGTTGGGGAAGGAGAAATTGTGAGACATGACATGTAATGACTAGGAAAGAGAATTTTGAATAAAAGTGTAATTAAGGATGTTTTTACTTGGACTGTAATTTGTCCCAGACCAGTTCAGACCAGACCAGACTTGGATAGTTATAAAAATACAAAGAAACCAGACCAGACCAGCAAATTACAGTCCAAGTAAAAACCTCCTAAAGAGAGTAAATTGTTTCCTAAAATGGAATGGGAACCTTTAAATGGGACAAATAAGGAAAGTGAGAACTTTTCAACGGGACAGAGAGAGTAGTGTTTTTACAATTATTTGAATATAGTTAGTATTCAAAATTTTAAACATCATCCCATCTAAGTGGTTAAATCACTACTCAGTGGTAACTAGGTCAAGGGCCGAGTCACGATTAAGACGATTACTTGGTGATTACTTGACAATCTGTTAATTAAACTTAAAAACATATAAAAAATCATCATTTACCCCAGTGCCGCAAAGGCTCCCACCTGAGGTGGGGTAGGGGGGTCAGATGTACGCAGTCTTACCCCTGTACTAAAGCACAGAGAGACTGTTTCCGGATGACCCATTAAGAAAATTGCGTCCAAAATTGCATGGACCGACTGCTGCTTCATAACAAAGAAGAGCAGACAGTTTGGTGAGCCATTTTGCTTTATTCCATCATATTCTCAAGCCAAAAAATAATGAATCTTTGGCTCCATTGCAAATGATGGAAATAAAAACATAAATGCCCAAAATTCTAGTAATAAATTAGTCTTATAATTCTTCAATATGAATAAATAAACAATAATAATCCTAATAATGAAGTAGCAACAAATCCAAACAATCATGATTATTCTAACTTCGAAGAAAATCAATCACCTAATAATACATTATTAGGTATTAACCTCCTCCTCATCATCATTGGTTATTATTTGAACACTGAATTGAAAAAATGTCACTCTTATGACATTATTATTGCTTTTTCTATCAAACTGACAAGATTGCTTTGGAATTAAAATAGGGAGAAGGCTCAAAAAGGACATTAAGGTTATTTATAAAGTTCGGATTGAACACTCAACTTTTAAATGGACCAATTTAACACATGAACACATCATTTGAGCAATATTTGGCCACTGACCCAACATTTCCGTTAAAGCCCAACATCAAATCATCAACAATCTTTGATTCAACTCTTGAAGCTACAAACGAGACCCAATAAATTACACTCATAGATGTTGAATCCATTCACATCTCCATTGTCGTTCTTTTTGTGAGTCACAAGACCGGACCCTTGGTTTTCGGCATTTACATTCTTGGAATATGATCAAAATCCCTGTTCCCGGCCATTGTCGCTGTCTGGGAAGAAGGTGAATCCCAAGCCAGAGTCGTTAACATCCTGCGCGTAGGTAAAAACGCTCCTTGGCCGCCGATGGATCTAACGTTGTAGCGGAATATTATACTCCTTTTATAAGTAATTAATATTGAAAGAGTTGTATCCTCTGACCGGATTCATTCTGTAATTGCTGAAACTCCTCTCAGCACAGGCACATACGACATACATGATGTCATCGATGTGCTTTTCGAGGCTCGGATTTATATCAAGGAAGCGGAGCAGATTAGCAGAGGAGCAAAATCCGATTACCTGAGCAGCGAGCAACTTCTGTCTCGCTGCTAGATTTGGAAGGTGACCTACTACGCAGCTCTCAATAATAAGGCTTGAAGGGGTTTAATTCGCTGGAGCCCCATCATCAAATTTAAAACACCAACATTCTAGCACACAAATGACTGATAAGAAACATGTTTCCTTTTTACAAGAAGAGAGATGTATATTAAGAAAATTACACTCGATGATAAAGACCAGAAGAGGATAAAGCTGATGGGGGATATAGGTGCAGCCAGAAGGGGAGGCATCAGGCAGGCACATTTGGGCGGATAGGATTAACGTGGGGAAGCTTCCGTTAAACTGAAATGTTATTGGGTGGCCAAAATTTGCCCAAATAAGTTACTTGTGTGTTTATTTGATCCATTTAAAAGTTGAGTGATCAATTTGTACTTGGTGAATAACGTTGGTGTCACTTTTGAGCCTTCTCCCTATATAATATATGGAATTAAAATATATGGAATGCCATGTTTTGACCCATTTGACAAATAATGTCTTTTTTATGCTACTAGCTTTATGAAGATGGCATTTTATTAGTGATTTTTCTTTTTTCTTTTTCCCGGATTTTACATTTTCAAATTTAATTTTCCATTATTTTAATATGATACTATCATAATTTACATTTGGAAATGTTATGTTTTTAATACAAAAATGTCATTATTATGTCATTTTTGTTATTAAGATGTCATCCCCCCTGGAGGTCTGCACAAACTCACCGGAGGGCAGTGCCTTGACGGAGAATGATGGCAGCGAACTCGACAAGGTGCGGTGGCGGTGGCTGCAGATTTCATGGAGGGTGGCGGTGGCGGAAGATTTGATGGAGGGAGGCGGAGGCGTCATTGGTGGCAGACCTTGAACTCTGGATGCTTGGAAACACACACTTAGACACGCACACCTGGGAAACTCGCATGCACACCCTTAATTTTTTTTCATTAAGGGTAGTTTTGTCAGATTAGCTCTTTTTAATCCTATTTTCGTCCAATAAAACATAGCAGTCATATTTTTGCAATTCTACCTTCTTTTAGTCCTATTCAGAGAATTCTCTCTTATTAAAATCATACAGCTGCTCATATTGGCATGATATGGAAAGGGATATTATAATAATTTAAAACTATTATTCGCATGGAACTGCTGCAACGTAGGACTCACACCCCTGCCGCAGCCGTCTTCACTCACAGAGTCACAACCATCGTCACACAAAGTAGAAGTCAACACACAACAGAGGTAAGTCACAAGAGACCTTAAGGTGAAGAGTACTGGAAAGCAGGGAAGCCAGATAAAAAACGCTAAAGATGAAGAAGACAAAAGATTGACAATCGTTGCCAGGCATATTGCATACGCCTATATGTTAATTATGAAAAGGTGGGCCAGTGGGCCAAATAAATTTACAGACCTTAATCGTCCGCCTTAGACCGCCTTAGGGCGTAGGTCAGATTGCGCACACCTCTATGCAACACCTCTTATGCCATGACCACCTCTGCCATAAGCAATGCAATATTATGCCATACTCCAGAAAAGTGCTGAGGCGCGCCATAAGGCGGTATTGCATTGCGCAATTACAAACCATGTTTTCTAATATACCTACATATGTAATGCAACATGCGCATACAATAATATTACATTGTTTTACCGTCCAACACTCAATGCCCTATAATGATACAAGCTTAGTTATTGCTCAATAAAACTTATCCTTCAGCTTAGTGGACATATCTCGACCACATAAAATTTCTTGCGCACCTTTCCATTTCATCCACGGGTCCACCCGTTTTGATTCTGAGATACATCTCCATCTAAATCACTTTCTTTCTGAATTCTAGAGCCCATGTAATGGAACATGTCATTGATTGGGATCTCCTTATCATCCAAGGTAATCCCACTATTACTATCATTTCTACCCCACTAAGCTTGTACTCCATATATTTGGTTTTGCTTCGATTCATCTTCTAACCCTTACTCTTCATGATTTATCTTCGTATTTCCAACTTCATTTTAACACACGATTTTGTTTCATCAATTACACTATATTGTTGGCATATACTCCCTCCGTCCCGCTATGATTGTCTCATTTTACCATTTCGGTCCGTCCCACTAAGATTGTCCATACCTTATTTGGTAAAGTTTGTGTGGTTCTAAATCATTCATACTTTATTATTACTTTATCAATTAAATATCAACCATATAAACCTACTTTTATTAATAACCGTGCCACCTTCTCCCCTACCAAACATAGAGGGGACGGAGGTAGTATCATGCATCATGATATATCTTCTTGAATTGACTTTGTAAGTTCATTCATAACTATAGCAAATAAGAAAGGACTTAAGATGATCTTTAGTGCACTCTAATTAGGGAACTTTGTATTCCTCCCTACACTAGTAGTACAATTCTCATACATGATATTTGTATTTGGTAAACATACATGATATGCCTTTTCTAGTTAATGCCCATCAAGGACTTCTTGAAGTACCCTATCATATGTATTTTCTAAGTCAATGAACACCAAATGCAGTTTTTGTGCATATCTCTAATACTTGTCCACAATTTTATGTTTGATACCGATGATAAATTTGTAAATGGAAAACGGTCAAATAGACCCTCCTACTATTTTCAAATCCTGAATAATGTTCTCATAGTCTCGTACTTAGGAAATACCTAACCAGACTTGAACTTCATGAAAGCACCCAATTAGCATTTATAGCAGGTTACCTAAAGGTTTTCATATCACCTTGCTGTCTCATAACTACCTCACTTGTTAAAAACACCCAATTAGCTTTTTTTTAAAGAAAACTAAAACAGGAAAGACTAGATCATGCTGCAATGAGGTGGCGGTGAGATCTAGAAATATGTTGGTAACCTGCTAAAAATGTATTGAGTGTTTTTAACAAGCTTGTGTGTTTGATTAAGTGTTTCTTAGGTACAAGGGTTTAATTGATGATTTGGAGGCCTATTTGGCATTTTTCCTATTCATAAGTTTTAGTGATAATTGGTTAATCACTTAATCATATTTTGATTTTAATCTTGTCTACAATTATTAGTATTTTCGATTTTGGTTTTGTATTGCTGACAGTGGTGGCCTGGTGGATTGGGAAAAATCGCTACCCATGCTATTGTTTATGCTCGTCTTATAACAGAGGGTAAAGACCATGGAGTTCATGGTAAGGAAAAATTCTTCACATATAACAACAAATAAGTACTATTAACGTTTGATCTTGGAAAAAATCCATGCCTAACTTACAACTTTACATGTATATCCATTATGGTAGGATTTATCGTTCAGCTACGGAGCCTGGAGGACCATAGTCCACTTCCTGATATTACTGTTGGAGATATTGGAATGAAATTTGGAAATGGTGCATATAACACCATGGACAATGGGGTGTTGAGATTTGATCACGTGCGTATCCCGAGAGATCAGATGTTGATGCGGTGTGTACACTATATGGCTTTTTACTATCGTTTTGGTTTATAGAGTTGTACTCATGATTTTCTTTCTCTGCAACTCTTCAACCCAACATATTAAGGCACACAGTGATAGCCCTACTGAATTGCATATATTTTTTTTGGGGCTAAAAAGAGATAAAATTTTTGAGGATAAAAAAGGGCAGCCAGTTGCACGTTGACTTCCCTCACATGGTGAGGGTCCAATGAAGGGTTCCATCACCAGGGTGTCTAAGGATCAAGCTTTCCCTTGTCATTTTGACAAGAGGCTGCACCCAAGACTTGAACCTGTGATAAAAATCTTAAGGATATTAGATATTATTCTCTCCATCCATCATATTTCAACTTTTTACTTCTGTTGAAAATGTGTTTGGTAGTTTAAATTTGCTTGTTGGCCCCCCAAAATCTTTTGGGAACAAGGCTTGGATGGTGGTGTTGTTGAAACTTGCTTGTTGGTCTATGTTGGTAAATTTCTTGAAAATTATCTTCAAGAAATTTCTTTATCGACTCTTTATGGGATAGAGGGAGTGAATTTCTTTATGGGGAGCTCTTTGAAGCAAATCTTTTGAATCCACAGATGGTTTTTTATTTGACTCAATTAAGGCCCCACACCCACACTAACTGCCAGATTATTGTACTTGATGTTATCTTTACTTTCATTCAACCATATTAATACTATAAATCTTTATAACATGGGGTGTACTGAGTGTTATTGGTTCAAATGCTCAGGGTTTCACAGGTTACAAGAGAAGGGAAATATGTGCAATCTAATATTCCCCGACAGATTCTTTATGGAACTATGGTATTTGTCCGGCAAAGTATTGTAGCAGATGCTTCATCTGCTTTGTCCCGTGCAGTGTGTATAGCTACTAGATATAGTGCTGTCCGTAGACAGTTTGGTTCCCAAAACGGTGGACATGAAATACAGGTAATTTTGATTGAACATTGTGCATTATCAAAAATTAATTTGGTTTAGCTTTTGTAGTATTACATGGAGTCGTGGCTAGTAAATTAGAGCTAAAATACATACTACGATGTCAAGATTGCTCGATTAGCTTTTGTAGAATCACATGGAGTCGTGTCAATCATTAATTAGCAAAATTCTTACCCTTTTGACCTTGTCTTATGTCATTGTTATAGGATACTAATCTAGTACTCGTTGATATCTTTATGCTATAATAAAGGAGAAAACTTCATAGGAGTTTATTGCTTTTGGTGTTGGCACAGTTTCAGTAGTGGTTGGTCACTTGGTTGTGTTTGTTGATAGTATTTTGCTCACTTTAGGCCCTTAAGTGCAGCTTCTACAGTTTTCCTTGTTACTTATTTAACGACGGAAAAGGGTCAAATAAGTCCTTTTACTATTTCTAATCAGTCACTTAAACCCTTGTACTAAAAAACATCATATAAGTACGCCAACTTTACAAAATTGATCAATTTGACCATTCAATCAGTTTTTGACATGTAATAGCTGGTTTTTAATATTCAAAAACTCTAAAAAATTTGTTAAAATTTGAAAAAATACATACAAAAATTGTGACAAATTTCAGAATATCAAGACATCTATTTAAAAGGTTTTCAAATTTTTTATTTTTTATTTTTTATTTTCACTTTATTTTTTCAGTTTTCTTATTTTTATTTTAATGTTTTTAAAGTTTTATCTATTTTTACATTCATACTAATTTTTATATTATTATTAGATTATTTAATCAAATATATATGAATTTTTGTAAGATTTATCAATATTCCTTATTTAATTTTTTAAAACACAACCTGCTATAGCAGGTCAAATAGCTTGATTGATTGTATTTTAAAAGTAAATGTACTTATATGATTCTTTTTTTAGTACAGGGGCTTAATGATAGTAGAAGGGCTTATTTGCTCTTTTTCCTTTAATGATTAAGTAATCTGTGCATATGAGGCGATTCGGTTGGCTGTGTCTTTTCGATTCATGTTAGCTGACCCAAAAATCTTTTGGGAATAAGTCTTGGATGTTGTTGTTGTTGTACTTATTTAATGAGTTGTTTTTCTATGATTGTGACTTGCATTGATATTAATTTGTTTTAATGTATTTGCTTGTTCCATCCTTGTTTGTGGGACTAAAAAAGAGGGAATTGGTGATCGAGTCCTTCCATACTTGTTCCATTTTAGGTATTAGACTATAAAACTCAGCAGAGTAGGCTCTTCCCTTTGCTGGCTTCGGGATATGCCTTCAGATTTGTTGGAGAGTGGCTCAAATGGTTGTACACTGATGTAACCCAAAAACTGCAAGCGGGTGACTTCTCGACTCTGCCTGAAGTGCATGCATGTACTGCCGGCTTGAAGTCTTTGACTACTTCTGCTACTGCTGTAAGTGATCTGTGGCAACTTATGGGAAAGGAAAAAGTGTTTTTTATCCCTATAAGCTGCTTGTTTTATTATTTTTAGAATATAGAGAGCACATTCTGAGTGAGTTCAAGTCTGTTAGTTGACTTTGCACATTTCATTTTGATGCATCAACAAGTGTCTAGTCGTTTCTCATTTAGATTGATCTAGTGGTTGTAACTAACTGACTGGGAATTAGATTAAATAAAGTCATATTTGGAGTGGTGGGAATCCAAGGAATCATATGCCAATCCGAACGTCGGCATAGTGATTGAAATACTACATCCATCCCGGTGGACTTTGCCAAGTGCAAAGTAGGTGAAAAATAAGAATAGTAAAAACTGTGTGGTTGAGATTTGTGCAGAGGAGAGAGAATTGTAAAAACTGTGTGGTTGAGATTTGTGCAGAGGAGAGAGAAATGTACAGAACCACAAATTAGTTTCTTTAATCGGAAAGTGGCAAAGTTTTTTGGGACAACAAAAAATGTAAAGTTGGCAAAGTGCAATGGGACGGAGGGAGTACTACCATGCTTTAAAAATCCCATTTGTTTCACATAGTCTCTTTCTTGATTACTTGGCTCTCTTTATGGTTTTCAGTTTGGAGATAGTTGTGCCAGTCGATTCCATTTTACCATTTTCCGGATATGATGATTAATGTTCAACTTTGCAGGATGGAATTGAGGAATGCCGCAAACTGTGTGGAGGCCATGGCTACTTGTGTAGCAGTGGGCTTCCAGAATTATTTGCTGTTTATGTCCCTGCTTGTACATATGAAGGAGATAACACTGTGCTTCTTCTACAAGTAATGTGATAACTAGTGCATTTAAGATATCATGTATATGCAGCATATTATTATAGATAATGGTCAAATAGGGCCTTCTAGTACAGCCAATCCGTTAATTATGCGAGAGTACCTAAGAAACACCCAATCGGACATGCCTATTATGGAAAGACACCCATGTCATCCTTTTTGGATTTTACCATTACGTTCCCGGGTTATATATGCCGCCTGAGGCTATTATTTGTCCATTCACATGTAGTGTTTTCGCTTAGTTGACATTCATCTCTTTATTTTGCTTTGTTTTTCTTTTCCTTTTCTTTTCTCTCTAGTTAGTCAACTCCAAAATTCTGCAATCCTCATTCCCAAAGGCGTTTCAAAAGTTAGTCTTTACTCTTGAATCTTCATCGCCTGTCTTCTTTCATCAACCCCAATATTTTTTTAATTTTCTTTCCTTTTCCTCCTCTCTCCCATCACTCGACCACCACAGCTGACTACTCCCTCTCTACATTCCATCTTATTTTTCTCTTTATCATTCTTCTCTCATCTCCTCTCCTCTCACCTTCAACCAGATCTAAAAGAAACTCATTTGAAGGACAAAAGAATCAGATCCCAAAAATAATTAGAACTAATAGATGATTTCAAGAAGATGATTGATTTGTAGTTTATTTTTCGGTGGATCTTAAAGAAGTATTTCAGATATGGAGTTCTATTTGTTTGGAGAAGAAGAAATAAGCTTAGGAGAAAAAGAAAGGAGAAGATAAAAAAGCAAAGGTGAAACAGAAATCAAAGAAAAAATAAATGAGAAAATGAAAAGAGAAAAGACGAGAAAAAAAGAAAAAAGAATACAACAAAAACAACATCAAAGCCTTAATCCCAAAAGAATTCGGGGTCGGCTAACATAAATCGATCTATGATATCGATGCCAAAAAGAGAAGACGGACAAAAAGGAAAAAAAGTAAGATAAAACGGATAAAATAAAGATAAATACATATAAGATAACAATAAAATAAGAATATAAGAAAGATAAAAGATAGAAAGATAAAAGAACATAAAAGAGCTAGAAAATAAAAATAACATTATAATATAAAAAGATAAAGAAGAGAGAGGAAAGGTAGAAAAGACATCAACCGTCCACACAGATGTGCGCCCTCTACTTTGCTCTCTCCAAAGCCATACTCTCATCCAACCCAAGAAGACGCATATCAGTTTTGATTCCTCTAATCCAAGTTTGTTTGGTCTCCCCCTCCCTCTCTTCTCTGCCTCTTCTCCCCACCCCTCAAGTCGTCTCACAGGTGCATCACTCGGTCTTCTATGCACATGCCCAAATCACCGCAAACGGACTCCTGCATCTGATCTTCTATAGGTGTTACTCTCACCTTTTGTCTGATTATCTCAATCCTCAAGCGGTTTTTTCTGGTATGTCCACACATCCAACGCAACATACACATCTCTGCCACACTCATCTTTTGAATGTGGCATTGTTTCACCGCCCAACACTCTACGCCATACATTAATGCAGACCTAATTGTTGTTCAATAAAATTTACCTTTCAGTCTAGTCGGCATACCTCGATCACATAGAAATTCTGATGCACTCTTCCGTTTCATCCACTCAACTTTGATTCTATGGCATACATCTCCATCTAATTCACCATCCTTCTGAATTATGGAGTCCAAGTAACAGAACATATCACACACCGGTATCTCTCTACCATCAAAAGTAATTCCACTATTGCTACTACTTCTACCTCCACCAAACTTGCGCTCCATATACTAAGTCTTGCTTTGGCTCATCTGAAACCCTTGGTCTCCAATGTTTGTCGCCATACTTTCAACTTTGCTTTAACAATGGATTGCGTCTCATCAATCAATACAATATCATCAGCAAACATCATGTACCACGGTATATCTTCTTGAATTGACTTCGTAAGTTCATCCATGACTATAACAAATAAGGAACGACTCAGAGCAGATCCTTGATGCACTCCGATAGTAATAGGGAACTCTGCGGTCCTCTCTACACTAGTGCGGACACTTGTAGTACAAGCATCATACATATCCATGATGATATTGATATACTTACGCGATATGCCTTCTCGAGGTACTCTATCATATGCCTTTTCTAAGTCAATGAACACCAAATGCAGATCCTTTTTAGTGTCTCTATACTTCTCCATAACTTGTCTAAGAAGGTGAATGACCTCAGGTGTTGAGCGTCCTGGCATAAAACCAAACTTGTTCTCCGAAATTTTCACACTTTTTAGAAGTCTTTGCTCAACCACTCGCTCCCACAGTTTCATGGTGTGACTCATAAACTTAATTCTTCGATAGTTGGCACATTCTTGTACATCGCCCTTGTTTCCATCATTTGCAATGGAGCCAAAGATTCACTATTTTTTGGCTTGTGAATATGATGGAATAAAGAAAAATGGCTCACTAAACTGTCTGCGATTCTTTGTTATGAAGCAGTAGTCAGCTCATGAAATTTCCGATGCGATTTTCACCACGGGTCATCCGGAAACAGTCTCTCTGTGCTTTCGTACATGGGTAAGAATGCGTACATCCGACCCCCCCTTACCCCACAGAAGGTGGGAGCCTTTGCGGCACTGGGGTAATGATGATGATGAGAGGAATGATAGTACTCTTCCGCCAACTCACTAGCATTTTGTTGTTTCTCCAAATCATGTTGAAGAAACGTGTTAGCCACTCAATGTCTTTCTCTCCCAAACTTCTCCACACCTCGATCGGTATGCCATTTGGGTCACTGCTTTCTTCCGCCCCATTTTTCTCATAGCCTCTTTAAATTCTGTTGTTTGAATCCTCACGAAGTCCCGATTTACCATACACTCTGGTATAGTAAGATCATAAATACCTTGCACTTTATTCCCGTTGAACAAGGTATCAAAGTATGGCCTCCACCTCTCTTTTATTTTCTCGTCCTCCATTAATACCCTTTGATCGACATCCTTCACACACTTAACTTTTTCGATATTATGAGTCCTACGGTCACGAAGGTGAGCAAGTCTATAGACATCTTTTTCTCCTTTCTTAGAGTCCAATTTTACATACCATTTCTTGTTCACTTTTCCTCTGCCTTCCTTCACAACTACAATGGTGACACATAAGAAATGGTTTCTAGTAACTTGGAAGCAAGCTATTAAAAATGCCAATTGGAAGTTTGGCATGAGTCTTTGTGTGAAAGGTGGTTCTAGGTAGGGCTGTTAACGAGCTGAGCCGAGCCCAAACACCCAAAGCTCGAGTTCGGCTCGATAAGGAATTAGTGGTGTTTTCGGGTTCGAGCTCGAAGCTCTGCGAGCTGTACAAATGAGGCTCGTGTTCGGCTAGATAGGCGTTCGATGTTCAAACCGAGCGCCCGATAAGCTCAATAAATATGCTCGAATTTTAAATTTTAGGTGATGCTCGTTAATAAGCTCGTGCTCGAATGATTCGACAAGTATTCGGTTCGTTAATAATCACATTTAAATTCATAAAATCATACTAATTATATTTACTTTTGAAATACATAAAAATTATATTTATAATTTCAGGGTGTTCGATAGGCTCGAGTTCGAACCGAACCGAATACTATTATGTTTGAGCTCGACTCGATTAATTTTTTGAACTTAAAACTCGGCTCGGGTTCGAGTTCGAAATCTCGTTAAGCTCGGCTCGTTAGGTTCGAAACCGAGCTCGAACTCGAATAATGCGATAAAAGCTCGGTTCTTAACAACCGTAGTTCTAGGTGGAATTTTTTGATGAAGTTTTATGAGCATGATCTTCATGAAGTGTGGATTATGTCCATAAAATTTCAGTAAAAAATTCAATCAAGAAAGTTGAATAATATTTTGAAAATAATTGCATTTTTTACATATATTTTGGCGCTGTTTGTTCAAAAATTTATATATAAGCTGTCCAGCTCACCTGGTCGCTGGCTCACCCTCTCATACGGGTGGCATTGGGTTCTAAATTCCATGGAGGTAGCTTCAGCTCTGTTTACATCGGGCTTCCCCCAACTCGCCTCCCAGTAAAAGTTTTTAATAAGTTTTTTGAACATGTTCTTAATAGAGTCCAGTTTTGATGATTTTTTTAGCACGTTCTTCATCAAGTTTAGATTATTTCAACAAAATTTCAATTTAAAATTCGATCTGGAAGGCACGGTATTTTTCAATAATTTATTTAATTGACTTCCCGATCGAATTTTAAGCTGAAATTTTGTGGAGATAATCTACACTTCATGGAGAAAATGCTTAAAATATTTTATCAAAAAATTTGACTAGGAAGCCCCTTAAATGGGTTTGGGCGGACGCGGATCCTGATAGGAACGCCACTCTACATATATATGGAGTGTTGTTCAAATAAAAATTGTTGTTCCCGCATGCGAACGACTACACTTATTGTCATGCACGTTTGGGAATGACAAATTCTTTTTATTTAATTACAAATATACCACCACATTTTTATCAATTTTAATGCATTATAGACATATTTAGAGCCATTTGATCATAAGTTGGATGCACCAAATTTATTCTTACTCTTCATGAGAAGTGCAGTTTTATTTGATCTCACCCCCCCACACTCATATATATATATATATATATATATATATATATATATATATATATATATATATATATATATATATATATATATATGAGTAGTCTTCCGGTCAGGTATACCTGACCGGAGCCCCGTCCGGCCTCCTCCATTTGGGGGCCTTCCCGGTGGTATTTTTTGCTCAAATTTTTTGTGTAGGTTCCTCATCAAGTCTAGTTCATCCATACCAAATTTCAGCCAAAAATTCAATCGGGAAGGTCGTCAAATGATTTTTGCAAGTTAACTGGTCCGGAAAATACATATTCCGGACCAGTTAACTTGCAAAAATCATTTGACAACCTTCCCGATTGAATTTTTTTCTGAAATTTGGTATGGATGAACTAGACTTGATGAGGAACCTACACAAAAAATTTGAGCAAAAAATACCATCGGGAAGGCCCCCAAATGGAGGAGGCCGGACGGAGGGAGTGGTCCGGCCTGGCCGGACCTGAACTTTAGTGTATATATATATATATATATATATATACACACACACACACACATAATATGATATAATTTGAGAAATCCTGCCCACTCACTTTTACCTCTATTTGTTGCACTTTATGTGCATTGTATTCCACTTTTTGACGTTTCGTTAAAAAAACACTTATTTAAAAAAGGAAAAAGAGTCAAATAAGGCTAACTATTATGGAATCGTCGCATAAAGTTATGTACTCAATAAAGTGTCAAATAAATACGTCTACTTATAAAAAGCAATCAGATGAGTCCTAACGACCCGTGTTCTCATGGTTCTCATTTGAGAACCGTTGTCCGGCCAAACCTGTTTAAGGTCCTTCCGAGTGGATTTTTTTGATGAAATTTTGTGAGCACATTCTCCATGAACTGCAGATTACACCCACCAAATTTCAGTCTAAATGTTTTTCGATAATTTATTTAATTGACTTCTCGATTGAATTTTAAACTGAAATTTGGTGGGTGTAATCTGCAGTTCATGGAGAATGTGCTCACAAAATTTCATCAAAAAATTCCACTCGGAAGGACCTTAAACAGGTTTGGCCGGACAACGGTTCTCAAATGAGAACCATGAGAACACCATTTTTAACTCAATGTGATATACTGTAACGTTTGCATGTTACACTTTTTCGTCTTGACGAAATATTTACGAATTTGCTACCATATTTATTTGATGTTATGGTTTGAAAAAGTGTAACGTACAAATGTTATGATGTATTGCATTGAGTTAAAAGTGGTGTTCTCATGATTATCACGTTAAACACGAATCTCATTGGAATCGCACCCTGTATATATTCCTAGATTTTACTTGCTTGTGAGGTAGACAGTTTTGTTTTTTTGTTTGTTTAGGTTGCTCGAGTTCTATTGAAGACTATATCTCAACTAGGGTCTGGTAAACCGCCTGTGGGGACTATAGCCTATATGGGGAGGATTGAGCATTTAATGAACTGTCGTTCTAAAGTTCAGCAAGGTATGATATTGACATCTTAACGTTGTAAAATCTCAACCGCCACAAACAAGGCCATAATACTAAAATTCAATCCATTCAGCCAACGACTGGCTGAATCCTAGTGCAGTTTTGGAGGCTTTTGAAGCAAGGGCGGCAAGAATGGCTGTTTCTTGTGCAAAGAACGTCAGTGAGTTTGCCAATAAAGAAGAAGGTATACCCTTATTCAATCGACCCCAAAATCTTTTGGGATTAAGGCTTGGATGTTGTTGTACCCTTATTCAATCTTTGGAAAACTTTTTTAAAGCTAAAAGCGCACAATAGAAATTAGGGCGGGGCTTTTCTTTATAGCAAAAACCTTATTACAATACAACAACATCCAAGCCTTAGTCCCAAATGATATTGGGGTTGGCTAACATGAATCGATACATGATATCGCCAAAAGGAAAAGAAAGAAAATAAAGATAAAAAAGATAAGCTATTATAAAAAAGATAATATAAAAGAGATGAATATACATATAAAAGATAAAATAAAAAGGGAAAAAATAATATTTATATAAAAGGATACAAGGGTTAAAAAAACAACAAAAAGGGGGGATGATACAAGATCACTCCTCCACATGAATACGCGCCTTCCACTTTGCTCTCTCCAAAGTCATACCCTCATCCAATCCAAGAACCATATCACTTCTGACTCCTCTAACTCACGTCTGTTTGGGCCTTTGTCTCCCTCTCTTCCCTGCCTCTTCTCCACACATCTCAACTCGTCTGACAGGTGCATCACTCGGTCTTCTATGCACATGACCAAACCACCGTAAGCGCGACTCCCGCATCTTATCTTCAATAGGTGCTACTCCCACCCTTTGATTGTCTCATTCCTCACGCGGTCCTTTCTAGTATGCCTACACATCCAACGCAACAAGCGCATCTCTGCCACACTCATCTTTTGAATGCGACATTGTTTCACCGCCCAACACTTCGTACCATACTGTAATGCCGACCTAATTGTTGTCCTATAAAATTTACCCTTCAGTCTAGTCGGCATACCTCGATCGCATAGAAATCCTGACGCACTCTTCCATTTCATCCACCCTATTCTGATTCTACGGGATACATCTCCATCTAACTCACCGTCCTTCTGAATTATGGAGCCCAAGTAACGGAACATATCGCTGACCGGTATCTCCTTACCATCTAGAGTAATTCCGCTAATACCACTGTTTCTACCTCCACCAAACTTGCACTCCATGTACTCTGTCTTGCTCCGACTTAGTCTGAAACCCTTGTTCTCCAATGTTTGTCGCCATACTTCCAACTTTGCTTTAACCCCTGATTGCGTCTCATCAATCAATACAATATCGTCAGCAAACATCATGCACCACGGTATATCGTCTTGAATTGACTTTGTAAGTTCATCCATGACTATGGCAAATAAGAAAGGGCTCAGAGCCGATCCTTGGTGCACTCCGATAGTAATAGGGAACTTTGCAGTCCTCCCTACACTAGTACAGACACTTGTAGTACAATCCTCATACATATCCATGATGATGCTGATATACTTGTGTGAAATGCCTTTTCTAGTTAAGGCCCACCAAAGAACTTCTCGAGGTACCCTATCATATGCTTTTTCTAAGTCAATGAACACCAAATGCAAATCCTTGTGAGCGTCTCTGTACTTCTCTATAAGTTGTAGAAGAAGGTGAATAGCCTTAGTTGTTGAGCGGCTTGGCATAAAACCGAATTGATTCTCTGAAATCTTCACCGTTCTTCGAAGTCTTTGTTCAATCACTCGCTCCTAGAGTTTCATAGTATGACTCATAAGCTTAATCCCTCGATAGTTGGCACATTCTTGTACATCACCTTTATTCTTAAATAAGGGAATAAGAGTACTATTTATCCAACTCGTTGGCATTTTGTTGTTTCTCCAAATCTTGTTGAAGAAACTTGTTAACCACCCGATGCCTCTCTCTCCCAAACTTCTCCAAGCCTCGATCGGTATGCCATCTGGACCCACTGCTTTCTTCCGCCCCATCTTCCTCAGAGCCTGTTTAACTTCCATTGTCTGGATCCTTCTCACAAAATCACGATTTACCATACAATCTGGTATGCTCAAATCACCGATATCTTGCACTTTGTTCCCGTTGAACAATGTATCAAAGTATGACCTCCACCTCTCTTTTATCTCACTATCCTCCATTAATATGCTTTGATCGACATCCTTCACACACACTTAACTTTTCCGATATCTTGAGTCCTGCGATCACGAAGACGAGCAAGTCTATAATATATTGTTCTCCTTCCTTAGAGTCTAATTTTTCATACAACTCCTTGTTCACTTTCCCTTGTGCTTCCTTTACGGCTTTCTTTGTTTGTCTTTTAGCCTCCTTGTATGCTTCTATGTGCTCATCACTCTGACTTGTCCCCAACTTTTTTTGTAGCAATCACTTTTGTTCCTTATGCCTTGTTTCACCTCATCATTCCACCAAGATGTGTCCTTTTTGGGTGACAGACATCCTTTAGATTCTCTAAGTACCTCTTTTGCCACTTTGTTAATGGTCAGCTCCATTGATAACCACGCATCATCCACATGTGTTTCATTATCAATATGCCATACATCTTCACCGAACATTTTGTGTGTAAAGCTTTGTTGAAGATCCCCCTCAAGCCTCCACCACATTATCTTTGGCTCCACTTGTTTCTTAACTTGTCTTCTATGGTTCTTACCTCGAAAGTCAAGCACAAGCATCCTATGCTGAGTGACAACACTCTCACAAGGGATAAGTGGATAACCTTACAATCAGTGGAGCTAGTTCTCCAAGTAGTCCGTACTAAGAAATAGTCAATTTGGGTACTATTAGCTCCACTTCTATAGGTTACAAGATGAGAGTCTCTTTTCCTAAACCAAGTGTTCATTATAGCCAACTCATACGTCGAGGCAAAATCCAAGATGTTCTTTCCCGCTTCATTTCTAGTGCCAAAACCATGTCTGCCATGAATACTCTCAAAGTCATCACGACTCGAGCCCACATGCCCGTTGAGGTCGCCTCCTATGACCAACTTCTCTCCCCTTGGCACTCGTCGCACCACATCTTCAAGATCTTCCCAGAACTGTTGAGTTGTAGATGCATCCAATCCCACTTGTGGTGCATAGGCACTTACCATAGACACAACCTCACCCCTTATCACCAATTTAATGCCCATGATGCGATCGTTCTTCCTAAATACTTCTACCACATCCTCAACATAGGCACGCGCCACAATAATGCCTACCCCATTTCTGGTCTTATCTCTCCCCGAATACCACAACTTAAAACCTCCGGGATTAATCTCACGTGCTTTCTCTCCAACCCATTTAGTTTTTTGCACACACATAATGCTAATATTCCTTCTCCTCATAACTTCGACTACCTCGGAAGATCTGCCTGTAAGAGATCCAACATTCCATGTCCCAAAGCGCAATCTAGCACTCCACCTTCTGTTCTTAGCCCCGCCTCGGACCCCACCATGCCCTTGCATATTTGACATCATCATCGGGCAATGGGATGACGCGCCGCTTCCGGGCGACGATCTAGCAACCTTAGCACTCTTAACACCACACCCATGCCTATGAAGTGTAGCGCGCCCTTGCATATTTGACACCACCCCCAGGCGGAGGGATGACGCGCCGCTTACGGGCGACGACCTAGTTGTAGCGATATTCATATTTCGATTCATGTCATGTAATGTGACTAGGTGATACTGTTGGCCGTCACGCGCCTACCACAACACCCTCCTCCTTTATCCTGGCTTGGGACATGCATGAAACCAAAAAACCTTATTACAATAGGGAAAATAAAATATATGTAATGCAAAAGAACAGTAAGATCACTTGAATAGTCATAAACAGGCTTCTTTTTCATCCAAATTTAAACATCAACATCTACACGATAGTCATCTTTGATTCTATTTCCAAATTTTCTACATCAAAAAGCCTATGGTTAGAAAATTTTACAATTTCTTTTGGGGCGGTCGATTCTATATCTAACCATATGCTATTTTGGGGTCTGAGTGATATATCTTGTCTGTAAGAATTGCATTGTGTTTGTTTCGATAATTTTAGTACACGTATTTTACCATAAAAATATATATATTTCCCAAGTCATTGCGTTTTTAAAAAGTAGATGTTAAATTATACTATCTCAGTCCCACTAAAGATTGGAACATGAGGGAGTGCTCTGATTATTAAGAAAGATGAAATAATGTGATTGATATTAAATCGTAGAGTATGAATAATTTATGATTGAATTAGAATCACATAAGCATAGTAGAACATGAGTTGTAGACAAGGCAAGCTTATACACATGTGAGAATGCCTAAATTGCTAGGAATGTAACCCACGTGTGCACACACATACACACACACAATTATGTGCATACACACACATGTGCATATGTATGTGGGAAAAAGATCTTGTCCAGCTGGAAAGACATGATGTTCCGTCCGGCCGTCGTCGTTTGTGGTGGTTCCCGGTGGAATTTTTTGATGAAATTTTTTAGGCATGTTCCTCATCAAGTCTAGTTTATCCACAAAACATTTCAGCTAAAAATTCAATCGGGAAGGTAGTCAAATAAATTTTTGAAAATAATTGCATTTTATATGTATATTTTGGCACAATTATTTTCAAAAATTATTTGATTGTGTGAAAATGTTTAACTGAATTTTTTTGTGGATAACTAAACTAGATGAACATACTCAAAAAAATTAATCAAAAAAATCCATCTGGAACCGCCCCAAACGACGGCGGCGGCCGTCCGGAGGGTCATGTCCATCCGACTAGACAGGATCCTTCCTTTATGTATGTGTATATATAAACACACATGGGCACACACATACATAGTGCACACCACATGCAACAATTTTTTAAAAACGGAAAATGTAAAGCATAAAGAAGAATGTTCCCAAGCTAACCTTAAAACATTTGATTCAGTTGAGAGATTTGCGAATTTGATTCCTTTTATTTTGTATTATTTATATATGTGTGTATGTAAGTATGTACGTACTGAGTAGCGATCCTATCAGGGTGGTCTGACAGGACTCGTCGTACGGCCCAGGGCATTTGGGGCCGTTTCTGGTAGTATTTTTTTATGAAATTTTTTGAGCATGTTAATCATCAAGTCTAATTTATGCCCATTGCCCACCAAATTTCAGCTTAAAGTTCTATCGGGAAGGCAGTCAAATAAATTATTGGAAAAAAATGCACTGTTTATATGTATATATATATGTATGTATGTATGTATGTATATGTATATATATATATGTATGTATGTATATGTATATATATATGTATATATATATATAGCACAATTTTTGTAAAGAATTTATTTAGCTGCCTTCCCGGTTGAATTTTTAGGAAAAAATGGGTATGCATAAATTAGACTTGATGAAGAACATACTCAAAAAGAGTCATCATGCAATTTGAACTTGTCCCCTCAGCTGACTAATGATAATAGGGACAAGTTCTTTCTTATATGTCCACATTTATTATCTTGCCAGGTTTTACGGAGCTCTCTGCTGATTTAGTAGAAGCAGCAGTTGCTCACTGCCAACTAATTGTCGTTTCCAAGTAAGCTTTATTTCCAGCCCCTTCCAAATTAAACTCACCTACCTACATACACGCTCGCACACATGTTAAGGTTGGCTCCAGTGATCATTTGTTTGTTCCAGGTTTATAGAAAAATTGCAGCAGGACATCACAGGGAGGGGGGTGAGGCAGCAACTGGAGGCTCTTTGTGCCATCTACTCCCTCCATCTTCTCCATAAACACCAAGGAGACTTCCTTTCCACCAATTACATCACACCAAAGCAAGCCTCACTCGCCAATGATCAGCTGAGATCATTGTACACACAGGTTGGCCCTACATCAAATTCTCCTTTCAGTCCAATGCCATGTACAAACATACCTTTGTAGTTCTTACTCTCCTGATCCTAGTGCTTTCAATGATAATTATCTATAGATCCGCCCTAATGCTATTGCACTCGTGGACGCGTTTAACTACACCGACCACTTCCTCGGGTCGGTTCTAGGACGTTATGATGGAAATGTGTACCCGAAGCTGTATGAAGAAGCTTGGAAAGACCCATTAAATGATTCGGTTGTGCCTGATGGGTTTCATGAATACATTAGGCCACTCCTAAAGCAACAGCTGTTGACCGCTAGGCTGTGATCGAAAAGTAGAGCCGGCCCATCTTTCATTTTGTTTTTTATTTTTTCATAATACAAAGGTGTAGCTTATCTGTAGCCATTCTATGAACGTGAAGCCTTTGTAGATTCATTTGTTGCCACATCCATCATCACTCACATCAGTACACGCCCATACTATGGACTTGTATAATAAACACGTTCTTTGCACCCCTCCTCCAGTAAGAATAACAAAACCACAAAATTGCTACCATTTACCTTTTGCATCTACTTCTGTCTTCCAGTTGTTACTATTTATTAATAATACTTGAAGGCTATTTTTGGACCTCGAAAACTGGCAGGGAATCTCTCTATTTACATCGGTTGCATTATATGGCGTTTTTTGATCCAATAATTTAGACTTGCAGTTGCCACCAAACTAGATGTTGCATGCCATTAATATGTTAATCTTGCTTCCAATCTGCAAGAATGTATTTTAATAAATTTGGTAACTGCAAACCTTCCTAATATTTCAGTTTGTTTTGATTGGAAGTATTCCAAGTGCAAAAAAAAAGAAGTAATCCAAGTTTACTTTTCATCCAAGCATTTGCTACAAAATCCTTCTTATTTGCCTTATGTGTCTTGTACTGGAAGTGACATACCACTTTCCTATTCTTATTTGCCTTATATGTCTTGTACATCTTTAATTTGCTTTTGCTTTTAATTAGTGATAGATATCTAATTATGATGAATTTGCTTTGGCTAACTAGAAGCAAATACTAAAAAAAATAAAAAAGGAATCCTCAGTAATCCCACTGCCCAGTACAATGGAAACAGATATCGGAAAAATAATAAACTCCTTGGTGATCCCAAACTCCCAAAGCCCCATGGTCTCCTAATTGAAAAGAAATCGGAAAATTCGTCAGATTTAGAAGCTGTTCAGTTCGTATTATATATATTATAATTATTATAATAATTATTATTATTATATTACTATTATAATTATTATTGCCGTTGTTATTATTATTATTATTATTGTTTTTGTTGATGTTATTATTATTGTTGTTATTTTTATTATTGCTATTATTGCTATTATCATTATTATTATTACTATTTTTACTATTATTATTATTATTATTAGCTTTATTATTATTATTATTATTACTCCATATTATTATAATTATTATTGTTATTATTATTATTATTATTATTATTATTATTTATTTTTATTGTTATACACAGTAATTATAATTATATAACAATTATATAACTATAGCTATGATTATAGTTATTACTCCATATACAATTATAATTATAGCTATAATTATAATCAGTGTAGTAGGTATAATTTTTTATAACTTTAATTATAATTATAATTATAATTAATTATTTTTAGAATTATAATTAATTAATTTTAGAATTATGAATATAATTATAAATTATATTTAAATTATATTTACAATTATAATTATAATTAAAGAAATATTCAGATCATATCAGAAAGATTCAGATCAGATCAGAAGGATTCAGATCAGATCAGACCAGATCAGAAAGATTCAGATCAGATCAGAAAGATTCAGATCAGATCCGAAAAATTCAGATCAGATCAGATTAGAACTTAATAAATTCAGATAAAAAACATTCAGATCCGACGAAGAGAACAACTTCTTAGTCATTTAGTACAATCATCAATATATCTTGTACAGAGTCTCAAGCAAAAGTTTTTGTGTAAAATGCTAAAGGTACTCCAAAATGTGATACCTCATTTTTACCCCACCCTGATGGGTGGCCATAAATGGGGCAACTCATTTAAGTGGGACACCACTTAAATGAGTTGCCCCATTTATGGCCATCCATCAGGGTGGGGTAAAAACGGAATACCCCATTTTTGGGTGTCTATAATTCTATAGCATAACTCTCTTTTTGTATAGTATTCCCGCCGAGAGAATTCTAGAGAGGCAATTATGAAAATGCCGGCTTCATGAACAGTTCGTAGGGTGATATAAGAGTTTTGCTAGGTGTACACATTTTGTGTACACTTGTCTGTTCTTCACAGACAAGTTGTCTATCACAGACAACTTAATATGAATTGTCTGTAATAGACAACTTGTCTGCGAAGGACAGACAAATGTACACAAAAGGTGTACACATTTGTGTACACCAAAAAATTTTCGTCATATAAATGAGGTATTCCTAAATTTGTTTCAATTCAAAGTAAAAGTGTCTTTCTAGAAGACGTCAACAATGAATTTCATGGAGATGACCTTTTAATGACATTGTAGAGTGAAACTACGTAGTATTTAATTTGGTCACATTGCATGTATTTATCTTATTATTATTGGACTGTAGTTACGAATATATACAAATTTAGTAGAGAAAAGGAGCAAATAAGCCTCCGAACTAACAAAAAAAATGTGAATCACCCCTTATATAGGAGGCTCTGTATGTCCGTCGTCACTTGGGGAGGTTCCCGGTGAAATATTTTGATGATTTTTTTGAGTATCTTATTTATTAAGTCTAGTTTATCCATACCAAATTTTAGATAAAAATTCAATCGGGAAAGCAGTCAAATGATTTTTGAAGATAATTGCGTAGTTAAATAGCGCTGCATGTTTCAGAAAATTATTTGACTACCTTCCTGGTTTTATTTTTAGTTGAAATTTGATATGGATAAACTAGATTTAATGAAGAAAATTCTAAAAAAAATTAATCAAAAAATTTCACCGGGAACCGCCCAAATGGCGATGGCCGGACAGAACCTTCAATATAAGGGGTGATTTGCATTTTTTAATTAGTTCGAGAGCTTATTTGCCCCTTTTCCCAATTTAATAATATACAAATAATTAAATTGGAAAAATATATTGTGATAAATAATATATTGTGACAAATAATCAAAATGAGAATGGTGAATAGTGTGTCTTATAGAGTTATAGTCCATCTGGGACCTGAAGGATAAACGAATTATCAATTCGAAACCTAAAAGATTAATATATCAATTCGAAACCTAAAAGATTAATATATCAATATAAGGCTCGAATGATGAAATACTATCAATCTAGGGCTTAACATTTTATAAGCTTTGATTTATTTATTTATTTTAATTATTCCATTGCTAATATTTAATAATTTTTTCTTCACAAAAGTTTATTAATTTAATAAAACTAAATAATACGGAGTATTTATTTATTGTTAAAAAATAAAAATTCATGACAACTTAGGTCGTATATTTTGATAAATAATCTTTATTTTACGCTTATATATTTGGTAGATTCTATGGTACCCATAAGGTACCATACCTTTGTTCACATGGATAAATGAGAATGTAGCAGTTGAATTATTTAAATCTAAATTAAAAAAGATAAAGTGATATGATCCAATCACGTGTATTGTCTGAACTGCCACGTAGAGTCATCTCCTGCTTCGAGATAGTACTCCATTTTCACCCTCTCGAAGTCGAATATACTCCGTCCGTATTTTCGTGTTTGGAAAGGCGCCATTCGAGTCCATCGTCTCTCCCATTCAAAACCTCAGATAAACCTTCCAAGTATCAATCAGTTCATTCCATTTCCTTGACTTCTACTTGCGCTCAGATGTTTTCGCGCTCCTATCCTACGGCCACTCAGACGAAGGCCGCCGACTTGGCCACTCTCATTCTCGGCGCTTCTTCTCCGTCGCAGATCGTGGCCGCCTGTGCGGAGGTAGACTCTTTTCTCCATTTGTACACCGCAGACCAGACCCGCTGCTTCTTCTCCATCACTTTCCCAACCCTAATTTGTAAAGTGTTCGGTTTCGACGACACGCCGCCGGTAGATCACAAGTCTCTTTCGCCATCTGGATGGATCGATGTTGCCTCTCTATCTAACGATTCCGAGCTTGCAGGTATGCTCCCGAACACTGTTCCGTTCCTGTCATGTCTACCTAAATGGAACGTTCTCTACTTCTCTTCTCAATCACTACACTTTTTAGCTTATACATGCTGAGCTGCGATTTTTACTTGTTCTGATGATAGTTCACTCTATACATCTGTGTAGCTTTTCAGTCAATTTTGCCTCTGCTGATGTTTATCTCTATGTATTTACTTTTTTACAGGCAGGATTTTCAGATTACTATCTCCAAATAGTGTATTGCTATCATCAATTGTGAATGCTGATGCTTTATCTCTGGTTAAATATGTTTTTCCTGTTGAGCGGTTGCCAGAATGGGCTCGGTATCTTCTACAGAATGAGAGAGATGTTCAGCTTTTGGCTGACCTGTGTCCATTGTTCAGGAATAGGTTGAAGGAGGATTCAGCAAAGGGTTGTTTTCAGGTTCAGTTGAATATTTTCGAGTATTTTATGTTCTGGTTTGCATATTACCCTGTTTGCAGGGGTAACAGTGAGGGACCACAGACTGTTAGAATTAAGAGAAGCAAAAGATTTAGGCTGGAAAATTGGGCTTATTCAATTCCAGGTTTGTCGAGCACAAAGCGCACAACCGAGAAGAAAATTGAAGGAAATCTCTATATGCGTGTATTGTATGCATATCTTCATGTGTATGTACCTATGCATGATTTGAATACCCACCAACCTTATCGCAGCTCACTTCTCCATTACTCCACAGCATATGATGAGGGCATTGTTGAACGGGCAAATTTTTTGGTGAATTCAGTGATACACTTCTGGTTAGTGGACAATGATTTCTCGCCACTGCCTGTGAGTTTGTGCAAATCGTTTGGTGTGGTGCTCCCTTTTCGTTCATTTTCGGGTGAGACTCCTCCAACTTCTGGGTTAGGTGAGGTGGTGAGCGTGTTTGTCAAGTATCTAAATCTGAACTCTCTCCCACTCACTGATGGTGCTGATCAGGCAGAATGTGTTGAGAGTCCAACACAGAGACTACCCGCCTCACTTGGCACTGCCAAATCAAGGGATGCTTCTTTGGAGGTCCAAACTATGAGTTCTTGGGGAACATTGATTCAGAGGCCTCTATACAGATTTATATTGAGGACCTTTTTGTTCTGCCCAGCGGAATGTTCTGTATCAAATGCATCTCAAGTGTTTACTCTTTGGGTTAATTATCTAGAACCCTGGGCGAACAGTTTGGAAGAGTTCACTGAGGTGGATTCATGTTTGGGCATGCCCACTAAAATTGTACAAATGCATGGAACCCAGTCATTATCACATAGATATTCATCTGCTTGGCGGGGTTTTGTTTTGGCTAACTACTTGTTCTACAGCTCTCTGGCGATGCATTTTATTGGTTTTGCGCACAAGTTTCTTCACACAGATCCAGAGCTGATTGTTCAAATGGTTTCAAAGGTTTATTGATGTTATTATCAGTCTTCCATTGAAATTCGACAGAATCTTTTATTTTGATCTTGAGTGATGAACATGCCACTAATGCATGTT